GTGTGTGTGTGGAGTGGGGGGTGAGAGGGAGAAAGATGAGGTGTGTGTGTGTGGGTGGGGGTGAGGGAGAAAGATGAGTGTGTGTGTGTGGGTGGGGGTGAGAGGGAGAAAGATGAGTGTGTGTGTGTGTGGGTGGGGGTGAGAGGGAGAAAGATGAGGTGTGTGTGTGTGTAGGTGGGGGTGAGAGGGAGAAAGATGAGTGTGTGTGTGTGTGTGGAGTGGGGGGTGAGAGGGAGAAAGATGAGTGTGTGTGTGTGTGTGGGTGGGGGTGAGAGGGAGAAAGATGAGTGGGCGTGTGTGTGTGGAGTGGGGGTGAGAGGGAGAAAGATGAGTGGGCGTGTGTGGGAGTGGGGGTGAGAGGGTCTGGAGGTGTGTCTGTCTGTCAGTCTCTTTATATAAGACTCTCTAACGTTTTTCTATAATAAATAACTAAATATTTATCAGTATTTTCATAATTATATATTCCTTATCGGTCCAATTATCAAGTTCATTATCAATTATCATAGTCGATGGTGGTGCGGTAGTTAGGTGTGTGTGTGTGTGTGTGTGTGTGTGTGTGTGTGTGTGTGTGTGTGTGTGTGTGTGTGTGTGTGTGTTAGTCGATGGTGGGAGTAGGTGTGTGTGTGTGGGTGTGTGTGTGTGTGTTAGTCGATGGTGGTGCAGTAGTTAGGTGTGTGTGTGTGTGTGTGTGTGTTAGTCGATGGTGGTGCAGTAGTTAGGTGTGTGTGTGTGTGTGTGTGTGTGTGTGTGTGTGTGTGTGTTAGTCGATGGTGGTGCGTAGTTAGGTGTGTGTGTGTGTGTGTGTGTGTGTGTGTGTGTTAGTCGATGTGGTGCAGTAGTTATGTGTGTGTGCGTGTGTGTGTGTGTGTGTGTGTGTGTGTGTATGTATGTATGTATGTATGTATGTATGTACAATCCAATACTGCTTTTGCATGACTTAATAAATAGTTTGGCCAAATCATCTCAAGTCTTCCATAAATAATCCTTTAACACGTAATAAATGCATCTTAAACATCTAACTTTTATATATATATATTTTTTATCTTTTCTCTACACAATAAATAGAGAAATTAATTGTTTTAATAATTTTTGTATGTTGTAAAAATTTTTCGTTTAAATGTACTTTGCATGGGCATCTTGGATCAATAATTGCATTTTTTTTAGTAATGAAGAAATATTTACTGCATCTTGGTGTGTGTGTGTGTGTGTGTGTGTGTGTGTGTGTATTTATAAGGACAATATTAGTTGTTTTCCTTCATAGGTTTACCTGGGTAATGTTTTCTCGTACAGGTGAGTATAACTTTAATCTCTTCTTCAATATATTTATCGCCATGATTTATAATTTATTCATATATATTATTATTATTTTTTTGCTGTTTATATTAGTTCTATAATTCAGTCCTATAACACAATGATATAATTATAGGAATGATTAATCTATGTCTTTCGTGAATTTATTATTATTATTATTATTATTATTATTATTATTATTATTATTATTATTATTATTATTATTATTATTATTATTATTATTTTTATTATTATTATTATTATTATTATTATTATTTATCTTCTTCTCTCTCTCTCTCTCTCTCCCCCCCCCCCCCCCTCTCTCTCTTAACGTATTTCTGACACCTTATTTCCCCTTAAATACGCTGACATCGTATTTTATAAATCTTTTCCTTATTACTTCGACAAATTAACTAAAATTCCGTATTTCTTTTAATTCTTACTTAGCATTCATTTATATCGGTTATATAATTATGTAGTGAATATAACATCAATCTTATTTAATTTTCTTATTCATTAATGTATAATAAATATGTATAATTAGTACTTTATTTTTGTCCAATTTTATTTTTTTCATTTTTATTCATATTTTGTACATAATTTTTTGCATATGCTCTTCAATAAATAGTTAATGTAAGTATTTTTTCTCCATTAAATATTCATCTTTATCTTTCATTATTCTCTATCTTCTTTCTATCTGTATTTTTTAATTTATTCTAAGATTTTTAATTTATTCTAAGCTTTTTAATCTATTCTAAGCTTTCTTAATTTATTCTAAGCTTTTTAATCTATTCTAAGCTTTTTTAATTTATTCTTTTTTTTTCTTTTACAATTTTTCTAAGCTTTTTAATCTATTCTAAGCTTTTTAATTTATTCTAAGCTTTTTTAATTTATTCTAACTTTTTACTTTATTTGTTAAGGTAAACGTTAACATAATACTAATTTACTTTTCTTCACTTTTTTGTAGTTTTTGTGAAAGTAAAATATTATAAAACTAAAAATAATGAAAACAAATAAAAAATTAATAAAAATATACAAATTAAAAAAAAATATTTAAAAGTAATAATAAAAATTAATTAAAACTATTTACATCAATTATTTCTCTCTCTCTCTCTCTCTCTCTCTCTCTCTCTCTCTCTCTCTCTCTTTAATATTTATTGTCTCGTGTTTTTATCTGTCTGTTATTTCCATTTGTTTCTTTGTTTTAACGGTAATTTATTTTATTCTCTTGTATCTCAAAGTTAATAGAATGTTCAATCATCAGTCCTGTTATCTCTCACTTGTCTCCTGTTATCTCTCACTTGTGTCCTGTTATCTCTCACTTGTGTCCTGTTATCTCTCATTTGTCTCTGTTATCTCTCACTTGTGTCCTGTTATCTCTCACTTGTGTCCTGTTATCTCTCACTTGTGTCCTGTTATCTCTCACTTGTGTCCTGTTATCTCTCACTTGTGTCCTGTTATCTCTCACTTGTGTCCTGTTATCTCTCACTTGTGTCCTGTTATCTCTCCTTGTGTCCTGTTATCTCTCACTTGTCCTGTTATCTCTCACTTGTGTCCTGTTATCTCTCACTTGTGTCCTGTTATCTCTCACTTGTGTCCTGTTATCTCTCACTTGTGTCCTGTTATCTCTCACTTGTCCTGTTATCTCTCCTTGTGTCCTGTTATCTCTCACTTGTGTCCTGTTATCTCTCCTTGTGTCCTGTTATCTCTCACTTGTGTCCTGTTATCTCTCACTTGTGTCAGGTTATCTCTCACTTGTGTCCTGTTATCTCTCACTTGTGTCCTGTTATCTCACTTGTGTCCTGTTATCTCTCACTTGTGTCTGTATCCCTGTTATCTCTCACTTGTGTCATATCTCTCACTTGTGTCAGTTATCTCTCACTTGTGTCCTGTTATCTCTCCTTGTGTCCTGTTATCTCTCACTTGTGTCCTGTTATCTCTCACTTGTGTCCTGTTATCTCACTTGTGTCCTGTTATCTCTCACTTGTGTCCTGTTATCTCTCACTTGTGTCCTGTTTCTCTCACTTGTGTCCTGTTATCTCTCACTTGTGTCCTGTTATCTCTCACTTGTGTCCTGTTATCTCTCACTTGTGTCCTGTTATCTCTCACTTGTGTCCTGTTATCTCTACTTGTGTCCTGTTATCTCTCACTTGTGTCCTGTTATCTCTCACTTGTGTCCTGTTATCTCTCACTTGTGTCCTGTTATCTCTCACTTGTGTCCTGTTATCTCTCACTTGTGTCCTGTTATCTCTCACTTGGCCTTGTTATCTCTCACTTGTGTCCTGTTATCTCTCACTTGTGTCCTGTTATCTCTCACTTGTGTCCTGTTATCTCTCACTTGTGTCCTGTTATCTCTACTTGTCAGGTTATCTCTCACTTGTGTCCTGTTATCTCTCACTTGTGTCCTGTTATCTCTCACTTGTGTCCTGTTATCTCACTTGTGTCCTGTTATCTCTCACTTGTGTCCTGTTATCTCTCACTTGTGTCCTGTTATCTCTCACTTGTGTCCTGTTATCTCTCATTTGTGTCCTGTTATCTCTCACTTGTGTCAGGTTATCTCTCACTTGTGTCCTGTTATCTCTCACTTGTGTCCTGTTATCTCTCACTTGTGTCCTGTTATCTCTCACTTGTGTCCTGTTATCTCTCACTTGTGTCCTGTTATCTCTCTTGTGTCCTGTTATCTCTCACTTGTCTCTGTTATCTCTCACTTGTGTCCTGTTATCTCTCAATTGTGTCCTGTTATCTCTCACTTGTGTCTCTGTTATCTCTCACTTGTCCTGTTATCTCTCACTTGTGTCAGGTTATCTCTCACTTGTGTCCTGTTATCTCTCACTTGTGTCCTGTTATCTCTCACTTGTGTCTCTGTTATCTCTCACTTGTGTCCTGTTCTCTCACTTGTGTCCTGTATCTCTACTTGTCTGTTATCTCTCCTGTGTACCATGTCCTGTTCTCTCCTTGTGTCTTTCTCTCACTTGTGTCCTGTTATCTCTCACTTGTGTCCTGTTATCTCTCACTTTGTCTCTGTTATCTCTCTTGTGTCCTGTTATCTCAATTGTCCTGTTATCTCTCACTTGTGTCTCTGTTATCTCACTTGTCCTGTTATCTCTCACTTGTGTCCTGTTATCTCTCACTTGTGTCCTGTTATCTCTCACTTGTGTCCTGTTATCTCTCATTTGTCTCTGTTATCTCTCACTTGTGTCCTGTTATCTCTCACTTGTGTCCTGTTATCTCTCATTTGTCTCTGTTATCTCTCACTTGTGTCCTGTTATCTCTCACTTGTGTCCTGTTATCTCTCACTTGTCTCTGTTATCTCTCACTTGTGTCCTGTTATCTCTCACTTGTGTCCTGTTATCTCTCACTTGTGTCCTGTTATCTCTCACTTGTGTCCTGTTATCTCTCTCACTTGTGTCCTGTTATCTCTCACTTGTGTCCTGTTATCTCTCACTTGTGTCCTGTTATCTCTCAATTGTGTCCTATTATCTCTCACTTGTGTCCTGTTATCTCTCATCAGTCCTGTTATCTCTCACTTGTGTCCTGTTATCTCTCACTTGTCTCTGTATCTCTCACTTGTCTCTGTTATCTCTCACTTATCTCTGTTATCTCTCACTTATCTCTGTTATCTCTCACCTTAACAGATTATATAAACCCAATAATTATCTTTTTATCTCAGTAACTAATTCATGGTTTATCTTTCCCCCCTCTCTCTCTAGCAAACCCGGAGGAACCTGGATGCTGTGCTATTATATTAACCATCGCTTCTTATCTTCTCATCTTCGCCACTTTCCCCTTCTCATTATGCATGTGTATCAAGGTAAGTCTGTGTTGGTTAGGTTAAGTTTGGTTTATTTTTTAGTCAGATCACGCCTCTATGTATACTTTCAATACGGGTGAATTTTTATGTGTTTTAGTTTTTTAATTTACCTGAATCATTTAAATAAACTTGAGGACAATGAGCTAAAAACTATATATTTATTCCTCTCTGGCAAAATAAACCGAACACAACCCCACTTTAAGAACGAGGTTTACTCTCTAAATCAGGTTTATATTGTCAATCCTAAAACATTGTTGTGGAGATGAATCATATTTCCAGTTTAGGATAATAATTGACTCGCTAGATTCAGGAGTTTTAAGACATTGATTCTGATTCTTTAATAAAACACGAGATTCTTGTTTTATCCACACCAATGTATTTTCAATATAACCTTATTTTCCTCACTATTTCTATAAGTGTATATACAAATTTTATAAAGAGTCATATACCGTGATATACAGAGGCGTGAATTGATATATAAAATAAGTTCTTGTATACATATAAAGTTTATTATATACGTGTGTGTGTTTATATAAAATGTAATTCCTATAAGATGCTTCTATATATCATCTCGGCTCAAGGTAAGTCACTATGTATAAGATTATTATATGAAACGTTGGTGTGTTATAGGAATTATTATAATGTTATGTACTTTATGTAAGGTGTTGAAGTCGTTTATATAGATGGTTAAAAAATCGACACTTTGGAAATAAAAAAAAAAAAATATTACTTACACGTTATCTTGTTTCTATATATATATGATGTTATTCATATAAATTACTAAATAAATCAATATACACTTAGTTTATATAAGGTGGTGGAAAAGTCCGTGTGCACCGCCGATAATGAACACTGTAGGTTTAACGGGGAACAACTGTTTTACAGGTGCACAGGGACTTCTCGGTCACCTGTTGGCGACCATACAGTTGGGGTCTCTTTCTTCCGTGTGTATATAAATAAGTTGATAGATAGATAGATAGATAGATAGATAGGATAGGATGGTGTCTGTCTGTCTGTCTGTCTCTCTGTCTGTCTGTCTGTCTGTCTGGGTGTCGAAACTTTCGCTTGTTCAGAGAATAATTGAAGATCTGTCAGGTGTCGGGGTTAGCTTAGGTCAAGGTCAGAGCAGGAGGTCAAAGGTCAGTGCATGTCAGCGGTCAGTGCAGGAGGTCATAGGTCAATTCAATACAGGAGGTCAGAGGTCCGTGCAGGAAGTTAGAGGTCAGTGCAGGAGGTCAGAGATCAGTGCAGGAGGCAGAGCAACAGGAGGAGGTCAGGAGCAGGCAGCAGGAGTCAGAGATCAGGCAGGAGGTCAGAGGTCAGTGCAGGAGGTCAGAGATCAGAGCAGGAGGTCAGAGGTCAGTGCAGGACTCAGAGATCAGAGCAGGAGGTCAGAATCAGTGCAGGAGGTCAGAGGTCAGTGCAGAGGTCAGAGATCACAGGAGGTCAGAGGTCAGTGCAGGACTTCAGGATCAGACAGGAGTCGAGATCAGAGCAGGAGGTCAGAGGTCGAGCAGCAGAGGTCAGAGCAGGAGGTCAGAGGTCAGTGCAGGAAGTCACATACCTAAAACAGCGGCCTCTGATCACCTGAAATATTGTTGTTGTTTTTCTACAGGTAAAAAAAAAAAATAGGCGTTTAATTCAGTAAAAGTTTCATACGTGTCTGAAATGTAATTATGTATGTATGTATGTATGTATGTATGTATGTATGTATGTTCGTTACGGTCTAATTGAAAGGTGTTAATCTAATTATACATTTGTGCGTTGATACAATAATAATGTTAGGTGATATAGGTAGTGTGTGTGTGTGTGTGTGTGTGTGTGTGTGTGTGTGTAAAATACCATTGTTTATAAGATTAAACCCGGCTTATATGTGGTAGGTTTTTTTTGTTTTAATCTGATTGGGTTTTAATTATTATTTTTTGTGATTTATAATTCATTAGAGTTTGTTACATACATACATACATACATACATACATACATACATACATACATACATACAGGGTATTTATTAATGTCCATGTGCATTTTGACTCTTGAACACCTTTATATGTACACATGGTCACAACACTTGGAAAATAACTCTCTCTCTCTCTCTCTCTCTCTCTCTCTCTCTCTCTCTCTCTCTCTCTCTCTCTCTCTCTCTCTCTCTCTCTCTCTCTCTCTCTCTCTCATAAGACACAAGGTATACTGTTTCCCTATATGTTAAGAGCTAAAAGTTTAATTGATTTACCTTATTATTATTATTATTATTATTATTATTAGTATTATTAGTATTATTAGTATTATTATTATTATTATTATTATTATTATTATTATTATTATTATTTTTTATTATTATTATTATTATTATTATTATTGAGAGTAAAGTCAGATTATGTTGTGTACACTACAGTGGCCGCTTGGCTAAAAGGCTTTATTAGGCCTGAATATGTTATTTATTTAAGTGGTCTCCCTCCTCCCCCCCCCTCCTACCCCCCCTCCTACCCTCCCCACTACCTCTCCCCACCCTCCTCCCCCCTCCCCCACCTCCCTCACCCCTCCTCCTCCCTCCCTCCCCCCACCCTCCCCCTACCCCTCCCCCCCCCCCCTCCCTCCTACCCCTCCCCTCCTACCCCTCCCCTCCTACCCCTCCCTCCCTACCCCTCCCTCCTACCCCTCCCTCCTACCCTCCCCTCCTACCTCTCCCCACTTACCTCTCCCTCCTACCCCTCCCTCCCACCTCTCCCCTCCTGCCCCTCCCCTCCTGCCCCTTCCCTCTACCCTTCCCTCCCTCCCTCCCCTCCTACCCCTCCCTCCCTACCCCTCCCCTCCAACCTCTCCCCTCCTCCTCCCTCCTACCCCTCCCCCCCCCCTCCCCTCCCCCCCTCCAACCCCCCCCCTACCCCTCCCCACCTACCCCCTCCCCTACCCCTCCCCTCCTACCCCTCCCTCCTACCCCTCCCTCCTACCCCTCCTCCTACCCTCCCCTCCTACCCTCCTCCTCCCCTCCCTCCTACCCCTCTCCTCCCCCTCTCCCTCAGGGTGTTTGTGCAGCCTAAGTTACCATACCTAGAACTGTACACAGAGTACTCATGTGCACAGGGACACAAGACTATACACACACACACACAGAACACACACACACACACACACACATACACACAAGAACACATTTCATGGCCGGAGAGACTGTACACCCCCCTCCCCACCGCCAATAATATTCGCGCCATCGCCAAACTAAACACCGGAATGACGCAGTTGACAATAAATAATTAAATGGAAATTAATATTGAAAATTTAGGTTTTTTGATAATTGGTTTATTTTATCTGTTGTTTTCGGTTGATTATATCCAAGTGGGTTTATAATGGTTTAATATAGATGGTTTTAAATGTCTGCTTGTTTGTTTTAGGCGAGTTAAAAGGTGAATTAGGGAGTTGATTATCTTCTTTTGTGGTTTTAGATCACCTGAAGATTAGGCATCACAGCTTATTTCATCTGTTGGTTCATCACCCTAACTAACCTAACCTAACCTCACTAACCTAACCTAACCTAACCTAACCTAACCTAACCTAACCTAACCTAACCTAACCTAACCTAACCTAACCTAATACTTACTCGGGGCCAGGGGTCTGGGACTTGGTTAGGTTAGGTTGGGCATTATGAATTAACCAGAGCCAGATTAAATAAATGAGTTTGATAGACTTATTGCGAACCATAAGTACACTCACGCCTTCAACTAGACTTAAATTAGTTAAATTAGCTCTCAAGAGGTTAACGATGGGTAATTACCGGTCTTTAGTGGAGTTTGATTACCTGGACTCGTTAGGCCTGGAGTTAATTAGTTAAATGACCGTATGTGTAGTTTTATTCGTTTGGTTTAATGACCCTGTTTGAGTTAAATTACCAAGAGGTCAAAAATAACAACATAATTAGTTAGATAAAATTACATATGTTTCTTCTTCTTCTTCTTCTTCTTCTTCTTCTTCTTCTTCTTCTTCTTCTTCTTCTTCTTCTTCTTCTTCTTCTTCTTCTTCTTCTTCTTCTTCTTCTTCTTCTTCTTCTTCTTCTTCTTCTTCTTCTTCTTCTTCTTCTTCTTCTTCTTCTTCTTCTTCTTCTTCTTCTTCTTCTTCTTCTTCTTCTTCTTCTTCTTCTTCTTCTTCTTCTTCTTCTTCTTCTTCTTCTTCTTCTTCTTCTTCTTCTTCTTCTTCTTCTTCTTCTTCTTCTTCTTCTTCTTCTTCTTCTTCTTCTTCTTCTTCTTCTTCTTCTTCTTCTTCTTCTTCTTCTTCTTCTTCTTCTTTTCTTTTCTTCTTCTTCTTTTCTTCTTCTTCTTCTTCTTCCTTTTCTTTCTTCTTCTTCTTCTTCTTTTCTTCTTTTCTTCTTCTTCTTCTTCTTTCTCTTCTTCCTTTCCTGTGCTACCGTGTTTGACAGATATAGGATTAATAGAACTGTAATCTATTCAGGTAAACTTGTCTATTACATAAACAAACAACGAAGGATGAAGGTTTGGGATTTAGTGTCAAAGGTTTTATTTATTTATTTTAATTTTTGTTTTAATTTTATATTTTTTTACTCTCTCTCTCTCTCTCTCTCTCTCTCTCTCTCTCTCTCTCTCTCTCTCTCTCTCTCTCTCTCCTCTCACTTTAATTCATAAGTTTGCTTTACCTTTTGCCTCTTTCCTCTCTCCTACAGTCACAGTTCTCCTACAGTCACAGTTCTCCTACAGTCACAGTTCTCCTACAGTCCTTGTTTCTCATACAGTCACAGTTCTCCTACAGTCACAGTTCTCCTACAGTCACAGTTCTCCTACAGTCACAGTTCTCCTACAGTCACAGTTCTCCTACAGTCACAGTTCTCCTACAGTCACAGTTCTCCTACAATCACAGTTCTCCTACAGTCACAGTTCTCTCCTACAGTCACAGTTCTCCCTACAGTCACAGATCTCACGGTTCCTACAGTCACAGTTCTCCTACAGTCATATTTCTCCTACAGTCACAGTTCTCCTACAGTCCGGTTCTCCTAC